GGGGGCATACCTGGCATGTGTGCCCACTCCTGTGCTGGGTGACACCATCAGGTGATAATGGCAGCCTTGTCATTGGGTACATATCATATAGTAACCTCCGCTGCTCGCTATTGGCTGGTGGGCTGTGAGGGAATCTCCGACTCCGGACCCTCTATATTGGGATTCATTGGATCGCTGAGCGGATCCCATGATGGCTTGTGCTGTACGCAGCGATGACAGTATATAGAGATCATCCTGTATACACACACACGTATACACACTGTATATATAACACGACGCCTGCCAGAGAAGCCATGTGTGAAATCAAACCTCCATCTGGACCCGTATATACTATATACCAGCAGGGGGGTCGGGGAGAAGCTCGTGTGTATTATATGTTTAACCAGCAAATATCGTGCTGGACCTGAGCACCAGATACAACCCCCGCTGTGTACAAGCTGTATACTCCTACATCGCTGTGTATACTGTGTATACAGATACAAATCTCTGCCTGTGTATATGAAGAGATATATGTGTGTCAATGTTTTATATACACTTCTATGAGTGTGTATTCTTCATACAACACCGAGACATGTATACTGTGCTGTGTATATATTTATAGCAATGTTTTACCAGTACAGATCTTTATACTGGTCTGTATACTACCATCATATACCCTGTGTATATCTGTGCACTACCCCTGACATACCTTGTGTATATCTGTATACTGCCCCTGTATACCTTGTGTATATCTGTGCACAACCCCTGTATACGCTTTGTATATCTGTGCACTACTCCTATATACTCATCTGTGCACTACCTCTGTATATATTTGTAATGTATTCCTGTATACCCTGTGTATATGTGTACACCACCTCTACCCTGTGTATATCTGTACACTGCGCCTGTATACCTTGTGTATATCTGTACACTACCCCTGTATATATGTGTAATGCACTCCTGTATAACCTGTGTATAACTACACATATCCCTATACACCACCTCGGTATACCCTGTGTATATATGTATACTACCCCTGTATACCTTGTGTATATCTGTACACTGCCCCTGTATACCCTGTGTATATCTGTACACTGCCCCTGTATACCCTGTGTATATCTGTGCACTGCCCCTGTATACCCTGCACTGGTTTCGATCGCTCTGTGTTTGGGATTTATTAGGTGATATGAGGATCTGATCACTCGTGTATACCAGCACTGTGTATATATATTGTATATCCGCGGATAATTGTGTGTTGTCACCTCATTGGAGGGGTGTCTCGGGTTGTGTATTGTATATCAGTCCGGTATATTTTGTATACATTGTATATCAGCGGTATTGTTGTTTGTTGGGGGGTCTCGGGTTGTGTGATATTATGTGCAGCACATTATGTGACAACGGGCAGTATGACGTTGTCACCCGTCTCCGGCGCTCAGCTGGCAGGTCTGATTGGTGTGATATGAAGACAATGTATCCCTCGGATTCCTGAGCAGGACGTGGTGAGCGAGGCCGCTCTCGTGTCTTGTCCTGTGTGTAGCTGCGAGTGCCTGAATGCTGCTGTTACTCTGTCACCACTGACCGGCTCAGCCCGGGGGTTGTCTCAGGCCAATTACACAAGTAAGAATACATCGGGAATCCATTTTTTTTTTTGCGTCCTCTGCCGCGGGAACGAATACTATTTCTGTCATTTTCTCCGTTCCGGTATTCAGCCAATCGGATCGCAGGAAAGTGTTGCTGTAGCTCGGTGATGTCACAAGTCCTAGTGAACCGTATACTGCGTTCTCTCCTATAGGGGCCTAGCCTGCATGTATGGAGCCGCCGCGCCGCGCGTACCGGTCACCGCGGCCCTATAAAAGTTCCCCTTCCGCTGACATTTTTGGATATATTTTTCCTCCTCAAACTTTCTTCATCCTGCGGAGGAAATTCTATCGCCGGAATAAGAAGTCATATT